AATGATGCTGTTACTTTAAGAGGTTATTTTGTCCTGGTTTTTTTTAAGAGAGGTTGTAAGGCAGAAGTGCTGAGCTGGCTGCTAAACAGCACTTGAGTAAAGAGCTTGGGAGCCTTGGCTTTTTCTTTTATGCAGCTTGAATGGGTGTGGCCAAGTCTCTCAGATTAGGGATTCTGAGGTTTTCATTGCCTCAGAAGCTATTGGGGTCTCAACAGAGTTGGAGGCTTCACTGAATGTCTCCTGGCTGCTACTCTTTCTGAATTTTCTCCTGATTTTTTTTGCCTCCTGGATTGGAGAACTGCATGTGAGAATCTGTGAATTTTCCTTTCTGCCAAGGGATGCATTTCTGGGATGTTATTATATTGGAACAGTTAATTATTAATAGTTACTGTATTTATTATTCTGTTAAGTTTCCAAAAAAGTTCTAAATTCCTCTTTCTTTGGCTGTACTTTATCTATAGTGTATAAATAAATTGTGTTTTGCTTAACATCGAGTAGTTTGACCAGTTGCATTGCATTTGGAATAGATACTTTACATTTGCCTTTAAAATAAGAAAAAGTTACGATCTAAGCTACCTCCTTAAAACATTTTGAGGGGTCTGGTCTAGTTTGGTCCATAACAATGTGCACAATCTTACTATCGGAAGCATTTCTAAACTTCAACAGAAAAGAAACTTTTCCCTTTGAGAATGGAACTTTCTGAGTGATGGAAAATACCTTTTTGTATAGAGGAACAGTCTCTGTTTTTCCCTTGAACCAGGGAATTTTTGTGTTCATCACATGCAAAAACTGAGAAATAAAGCATTTGTCCTGTTTGTGTGTCCAGTGTTTAATAGTCAGACTCATCAAGACACCTACTCACTTCAGACAAGCATTGGTAACTTTATAGTTCTGAGTTGATTTTTGAAAACTTATTCATTCATGGGAGTGGGCATAGGCCAGCATTTATTGCCCATCTTTAATTGCCCAGCAGGCAATTTAGATTCAACCACAATGGTGTGGTTTTGGAGTTACATGTAGGCCAAGCCTAACAGATTTCCTCCCCTGATGTGCATTTATGAATCAGATGAATTTTTATGACAATTGACAATGGTTATATGGTTACCATTAGGCTAGGTTTTAATTCCTGATGTTTTAAACTAAACTCGAATTTCATCATCTGTTACCTCCACCACCACCTCCACTTAGAGTCTTAGAGTTATACAGCACGGAAACAGATCCTTTGGTCCAACTCGTCCAGGTCAACCAGATATTCTAAACTGAGCTGGTCCCATTTGCCAGCACTTCCTCTGGCAGCTTGTTCCATACACGCGCCACTCTCTGCATGAGAAAGTTGCTCCTCAGGTCACTTTTAAATCTTTTCCTTCTCACCTCATTTGCCTGATTTTCAATTCACGTGCCAGTCATTGCTCTGGCATCTCTGATTGACACTACAATTTAATGCATTCAGTCTTGTGTCCACACAAGAGTTGTTTGAGAAAGCTCCACTTCATTTTGCCTACTTTCCTAACAGTCAACAAAATGAGAAAGATGTTGCCACATCTTATAGTGTCTATCCTAATGTGAACAAATATGAATCAGGGCATATTCATAATCATCTATTGAGGTCCATTTAAGAAAATTAATACAGTGCTTTGGCTTTTGTGTGTTGCCCTTTCAAGATGAACTATGTCACATGTCTGATTTCGTTGATCACTCCAAAGAATAGATCATGTTGAGCTATCAATTAATACATTAGTGAGATTTTCTTTATTGTTGATTTATGACTCCTTTGAGAATTTTCCCATTGATTTCTGACTCCATTCTACTTGACAGACAATGGTTGAAATTGGCAGCGAGCTGCATGGATTGAAGCTGAAAACAATCAGTGTTGGTGGAGTCTCAGGAAATCATGGCAGCGTTCTTCATGGGTTCCGGGGCTGTATACAGGTATGACAAACACCAGGATATAATCACTGGGGGTTTTCAATATTTCTAACTGTTTGTTTCCTCAATAAACTTGTGAATTAACAAATGCTTTATGTTACTGTATTCACTTTCAGTGGTAGAAGTGTTAGATTTGTCATCCCATAATAGCTCATTGGATGATTGCCCATGTAGTCTACTGTAGGATCAGTTAGCTCAGTTAGCTGAATAGCCAGTTTGCAATGCAGATCTTTGGTAAGATTATGGTAACTTTACCTTTTTTTACTGCACAGACATGGAAACAACAAAGATATTGGATTCACTCCCTGCTCAGTGATGACTTGGTTGACATGAGGCAAGGTAGCAATTGTCCTCATCAACATTTGGTTCAAGGGGTGAAAAATGAGCATGGATTCATGAAATTGTCACTTTCACTGGACGTTCACACATGTAGATATTTAGAACATGACAATCAGGCTTCTTTATGTTGGCTCTGAGATTGAATAACAGGCTGACATCGTCTAATCAGGCTCAGACTTTGTAAATTCATAGCAGGGAGGTATGGTCCAAAGGTTTGAGATCAGTCTGAATGTGTGGGATCTTTAAATTTTTCCTCCAGGTTTCCTGATCAACATCAATGCTACTTGGCAATTGTTTCATATCAGGCACACAAGTGTACTTTTTCCCTGAGACTGTGTTCTGCTGTATATGAACTGAAATCCTTCAATTTTGTGACCTGTCAGAACGAAATGAGTCTCGCCCAGTTGCCTTTGGAGAGTTCGACAATCTGTAGTGAATAAAACCAGGCGTCTAACTGTGAGATCAATGCTGCACTCCTGTGGCTTCCATACTGCTGTGAAGTCCATCTCTTGATTCCCTACAAAATTGTCTGACTCTAAAGCTGGAGTGTTCCCTGGGCAGCTGGCTTTAGTTATCAAAATTATTGTTCACAGCCGCTACTGAATGGAAACCCAGCTGACATTTCAATTTAGTTGCAAGTGTGGAAATTCAAAAACAAAGGAACCATAATACTTTTGCACAAAGAATGATCTTAAACAGATACAGATGCAAACGATTTTGTTGCTGGCGTGAGCTGCTGTAAAATGAACAATTCCCTCCTCAGGGGGTTCGAATTGGTGAGACACCATCTACGGCACTGGTATTGAATATAAACCAAGCTGAAAAGGTGAATGTGGAGGGAGGCTGCAGCATTCCTGATCCTTGTGATTCCAGCCCATGTCCTACAAACAGCTACTGCAGTGATGACTGGGATAGCTACTCCTGCAGCTGTGACCCAGGTAAAGATTTACACCACTTTAGTAACGGGGTCACTGAGAAACTCAGCATTTTATAGCCTGTGTGATTCTCTTTAAGTCTTAAAACACAAAGGCAGGCTCCCGGGATTCAAGATGGTAATTTTCTAGGTTTCACATCCCATAGATCACCCATTATAATCTTTAGCTTTGTTATCATAAAAACTGTTAAACATATGGGTATCATTATGCTGTCACATTACTATCCAGAATAATGTACTAAATGATAGATGCTCACTTAAATTGACCAGTATTAAACTTCAGTCAATGATTGACTTTAATCAAGTGATGTTCTGTGGAAATCCAAGTGTCCAGTGTAGTTGAGTGTTTGTGCTTGCTGACTGACAACATGCATAAATTTCAGAGTATCAAACACTGGCATGTGACCACCCCTTTGTATTGTAACCTTGACTTTTTTATTACTGATTATTAGATATGTACAAACAATGCCAAATCTTTGTACTTGTACCTGTCAGGAAGGCATATCATCTTTCTTGAAAAGAGTGAGACTGAGGAGTGACCTTATTGAACTATTTTAAATAATGCAAGAGTCGACACAAAAATATTAACTCCACTTGTGAGAAGGTCAAAGCTAGAGCTCATGACCATAAGATGGTTGTCAAGAAATCAAATAGGGAATTATCCAGAGAGTTGTGAGAATGTAGAACTTGTAACCACAAAGGGGTAGTTGTGGTGAGTAGTATAGATGCATTTAAAGAGAAGCTATAAGAGAGGGAGACATGAACAGAGGCTTGTGCTAATGTACAAGAGGAAGGATGCAAGGAGGCTCATGTGGAGCATAAATGCTGGCAGGGACTGTTTGCATGGAATTGACATGTCTTTGCTGTATATTTTGTACAGTTATGTATATTTTGTCTTTTTATTAAGAGTGTTGACAGGAAATTTTTCATTATTTCTAGGTTACTATGGTGAGGATTGTAAGGATGTTTGCTCACTAAATCCTTGTGAACATCTGTCCGTGTGTACCCGCAAACCCAGTTCTTCTCATGGCTACACTTGCGATTGCTCAGTAAATTATTTTGGACAATACTGTGAGACTAAGTAAGTAAGAGTCTGAGCTAAGGGCTCATTAAAGCTGTACTCTTAAGGCCTAAGTGTTGTGTAAAGCTGTTGTTTAATTGAAGAATTATGTTAACTAATATTTCTAATTTATGGGTTCTACACTTTACTAACAAGCTGATTAAGAGATGGTTAATGGGTAGACATAACACAATAACATCAGAACACTTTTAAAATCTCTGTTGTTATCAAAACTTGCAGGAAAATGTCTAAAGATTGAGAAGTATATTTAAAAAGTTTATTTAGTAAAGATAGAAATACAGTGCTCCGCTCAAAATGGATTTCATTAAATGGTTTTGCTATTTTGGGCCCCTTTTATGTCACACTCCTCTAAATCTTCATCCAATCGTTAAGTGGTCAAAGAAAGAGACCTGATCAACAGGCTGTGCCCCCTTTCAAGTATTGCTGTCTACTTGTGAAGGAAACATTCTAAAATTTTCTTTTACTGATGGTCCAGCTGAGATTGAACTTAACACATTAAATACTGGGTGGATTTTTCCTATTTCCAGATAATGTCTGAAGGTAGGAGAGTTTCCAGGAGATGGACCCACAGCTTATGAATGTGAGAGAACCCACTGGATCCTCCAACAATAAAGCAGTTGATTGGCTGCTGGAGCACTTTCTGTCGGATTTAGGATCCAGGACAAGGGAGTCCTGGCCCCGGAGAGCTGCCGGCCAATCAGAATGCTGCTTTGGTGATGGGTGGGGAGAAGGTTTGCAAAATGGGGTTCACAAGGAGTGAGAGGGTCAAAGGCAATGAATGGGGATTGGCTGTCAGCGTCCATTCTGTATCCTAAGACCAGTCTCTTGATCACATGCAGAGTGCTGAAATAATTGAAGCCCAGGTGGGATGTGCCTCTTAAATGGTCATCAATTGATCGTTTAAGGGCCTCAGTCAGAAGTGGGGATGATAGGAAGGAATGCTTGGCCATTCCCACCCAAAACCTAATCGGAGCAGGGTCAGAAAAGTGGCAAAGATCTGTTGCACCACCATCTTGCCTGATTAATTTCATTTCATGCTACCTCCAGGCCCAGAAAATACCACCCGCTTTAGACAGTTTAAATCAAGTGAAGACCATCAGTCCGTTTACCTGACATATCCACAGCATTTCCTTGATGCATTTTGTGTACTCTTGAAACCCAGGGAATTGAATCGTGGATGGAAACCTGTGTAGCTTTCTGTTGTGTAGTGCACACCTGAGCCATTCTTGTAGTTCCAAAGAAAATATCCCCCACTCACTAATCCCATAATGGGATTATTTACTAACATATGTCATTGCTTAGATATTCATATTTTTGTTTCTCAAATGATAACAACCTGAATATTTGAAAGTTCACCCAAATTTGCATTCTCCAATTACAGGATTGACCAGCCTTGTCCTAGAGGATGGTGGGGGAATCCTATGTGCGGACCCTGTAACTGTGATACAAGAAATGGATTTGATGCTGACTGTAACAAGACCTCTGGAGAATGCAGGTGCAAGGTGAAGAATGTGATCTCAGCTGCTAAAGCCTGACAGCCTAACATTCAGACAATAACTTCACACATCCATCTTTTGCATGCTAAATCTCCCCCTGCACATTTAGCACCGAGTTTCAGTTCATTAACACTTAGCTACAGTGAAAAGAATTACGTATGGGTATGACTCAACCTGTTAAAAATCAAATTTAAAGTCAACTTTTCAACTTCTTACTGGTGCCCAGACCAAATACTTACCTGATATTGAGCTGAATATTTGAAATTGACTGTTTTTTGTTTTAAGAAAAACATTGTTCTGTGCTTACCAAGTTATAAGGGTTGGAGGTATGAGACTCATAGTGGTGATATGTTTGATCCAGTGTGTACAAATCTAACAGTGATGTTTAAAGAATGGAAAAACAGAGAAATTGCAGTCTTGGCTAGGCCACATGCAAATACATATATTCCTGAATCCAGGTGGCCTGGCACCCAAAGAAACTAATTTTGGCTCAAGCAGGCCTTAGACCCCTATTTTTCAATAGATATCACGTTCTAGCAACTTCTCAGCAATATACAGTCTAAATTATGTGTTCATCTCTTAATGTGGGACTTGAAACCATTACCTTTCAACTCAAGGTTAGGAGCTAGAGCAGTCACTTATGATTCAGATATTCTGAAAGCGAACTAGTAAAGGTGAAACTGCTTTTCAATCTCGTGGAGCGATTCCCCTAAACAAGGAAATGTTAGGAATTTGATTTGCTGCCCAGTCATCGGTATAATAATACAGTAGATTTTTCCTACAAGTTTTTCATGATGCAGGATGAGAGCTATTTTCCCGTTATTCTTTTTAGCACTTCACACAATTGAGGAATCTAAGGTGGATTAGACTGAGCTTTAAGGCTTGCAAACAGTTCACAAAACTGAATTTCAATCCCTTCAGGCATGACTGGCAATAGTGATGTTTGAAGTGTAACATCTGAGATTTTATTCGAGATTCATTGTTAAGCTGTTGGTTTTATAGCACAAGCTAATGTGTTCCGGTCACTGATTCTTCTTGGAATGGGTAGCAGAGTTATCAGAATCAAACTAAAATGGAGACATTGTGCAACAGTCCAAGTAAGATAAACAGAGTTTCAAGATTCCCAGAAATGTCAACACTCTGTTGAAAATCAGTTAAAGTGGGAGGAACGTTGTAAGTTCAAAAGAAAAATTGTTCCTGTCATTTCATTCTTTTATATCTTCTTGTTAGGAAATTTCCTTAGGAAAAGCAGTTAAATACACCACATCACCAGTAACACTAATTAAGTAGAACTTTGATAAATCACTCAAGAAAATATGCTTTTTTTTAAACCTTAAGACCCTTTGTTAACTTATGGCCATTCATGACAAGTGGTAAATATTAACACCTAAATCATTCCAAACACTTTATGAATGTATTGGTTTTGATACTGTTCATCTATTTATTTCCACCTTCAAAGTTACTTTGTGCATTCCTCTATGCATGTATCTCATAGACCTTCACAAGAGTGATATTAATGGAAGTTTGGGAACTGATTACCTGCCACCACTCATAGTATGAGCTCAAAATATAGAGAGAAAATAAAGAAGAGGAGAAATGCAGAATGTTAATTTGTGTCTCTATTTGGCAATTTTGACTACATAGATATGAAATAATGTATAATTTTATTTAGGAAAACCACTACTGGCCTCCAGGAAGCAATGCCTGCTACCCCTGTGATTGTTACTCAATTGGTTCACTTTCTCGCTCCTGCAATACGGAGACAGGACAGTGCCAGTGTAAACCTGGTGTGATTGGAAGGCAGTGCAACCGCTGTGACAATCCATTTGCAGAAGTCTTCACTCATGGGTGTGAAGGTATGTTTGTACACAACTAGATTTTATACCATAAGATGCAGGACAGAATTGGGCAGCTATTAGATTTAGTTAATGTTCAGTGCTGGTGAAAATGTAGCTCCAGAGTGCTGCACCGTCTGGATTTTGAAATTTCTCTTGACATAATGAATTACGAGCATTACAAAATGTGAAAAGTATCCCACATGTGAGTCATATATAATTTTGACAAGAACTGTTGTGGCTTCTGTGCTTTGTATTGTATGGTACTTTGTAACAGGAGCTCTGTACTTGCTAATGGCTTTATGAAAACAAAAAAGCACTTTTTTTTTACTGTACTGTTTAATGAACTGAATCCAATGAGATATCAACATGGATTTTCAGGTTAGCAGCTAACAGATGGTGCCATCTTTTTTCCAAAGACTTTCTGTAAAGTTTGAGCTAAACCTACTGTGATTTGAAAGCCTTTTCAGCACAACATCCATCCCCACAGAAATTTGTGATCTAAATAAATGAGGCAAAAACCTGTGTCTCTCCTAAACCAGTTTAATGCATATTTTTTAACAAACATGAAAATTCTGAAGTAAGAAAAGTATGTCGAAGTATTTAATTTAATGAAATAAAATTAAGTAACAGGTTAAAGGAGGAAGAGGTTTGAACAAAGAGAAAGGAAAAGATATTTGAAAAATCACTTTTTTATTTCAAGTCTCCACAAGTAATTAAAAACTGAAAGAATGCAACTCTACACTTATAGGCATTATTTTCAGTGCTAGAGAGGTTGTCTTGAAGTAACTGGGACTTACCATATTGTTAAAAAGTAATTTACACTGAAATGAACAGACAACAACCTTTTCTGTTATGCTGAGGGGGTATCTATCATTTTTTAACTTGATGCTGAGTCTCTGCGCAGAACCGCTGAAGGAGCAGAACAAATAGCAAACACATTACTGGTATCTACATTGAAACTGCTCATGTGCAGTTTTCTGATGTTGCTGTGAAATTTGCATTTACCATTGAGCGCTAATAGGCTGACCATTATTTATGGCATATAATCTGAGTAATTTACTATATTCTATTTATATGAAGTTTTAGAATTGAATGTGAAATAGCTGTCTGAGTTTCCTCAACCCCAGTGTTTGATTTTTGGAAAATTAACACCAACATATCCATTGCCTCATCAGCCATCCCTAGAAACTTGTCAGCCTGGAGCTGTATCAATTTGCTCATTACTACTTCTCCGGTGATTGCAATTTCTAGATATGGAAATGGCTAATTTGATTGTAAACTGTACTCCACATTCTAGTCTAGTCATAATAACCTTTAATTGCTTTGCTTTCCAATAATCTATTCACCGTTGCCCTTAAAAATGTTCAAAGCTTGCCTCACCATCTCCTGGGGAAGGGAGTTCCAAAGACTAATGACCCGTTGAGAAAAAAAATTCTCTCCTGTCCGTCTTCATCGGTAATCCCTTATTTTTAAACAGTTTTCTTCGTAGCTTCAAGCAAGGTGAAGTAGGTGGTATGGTATGAATGTACAGTCGGGTAATAGGTATTACCCATAAATAGAGAATGATTGAGAAATACTTGATGACATATTAACTGGTTATAGAATTAAAACTCTATTTTACAAATCTGTAAACCAGGTAAAAAGATGGTAGTGCTAAAGTTTGAAAAATAACTTTAAAATCATGGCTTGGTATTTAACAATAATGGGTTTGTATAACATCCATGTTATAGTAAAACATACCAAGATGCTTCATAGAAGCATTATAAAATAACATTTGACATTCAACCACATGAGATAGTCTTTTAAATAACCACAAGTTTGCACAAAGCAGTGGAAAAGTAGCAAAACAAGTCAGGAACTTACTATAAAGTTGGACTTGGTGCTTCCCTGTTAGTCATTCTTGAATCTGATGTGACTTCGGAATATTATTCAGAGATGTCAAGATATAGAATATATAGAATATAGAATATAGAACAGTACAGCACAGTACAGGCCCTTCGGCCCACGATGTTGTGCCAAAATTTTACACTAATCCTAAGGTGTATCTAACCTCCACCCCTACCTTATACTATCATCCATATGCCTACCTAATAGCCGCTTAAATGCCCCTAATGAGGCCGACACCACTACCCTCTCCAGCAATGCATTCCACGTCCCAACCACACTCTGAGTAAAGAGCCTATCTCTGATGTCTCCCCTATATCTACCTCCACTCACTTTAAAACTATGCCCCCTCGTAGTAGCTACCTCCACCCGAGGAAAAAGTCTCTGGCTGTCCACATCTATATCTCTGATCATTTTGTACACCTCTATCAAGTCACCTCTCGTCCTTCGTCGTTCTAAAGAGAAAAGCCCTAGCCATCTCAACATTTCCTCGTAAGACCTTCCCGCCATTCTAGGCAACATCCTGGTAAATCTCTTCTGCACCTTTTCCAAAGCCTCCACATCTTTCCTGTAATGAGGCGACCAGAACTGGACACAATACTCCAGATGTGGCCGAACCAGGCTTTTGTATAGTTGGAGCATAACTTCACGGCTCTTGAACTCAGTCCCTCTATTAATGAAAGCTAACACACCATATGCCTTCTTAACAACTCTATCCACCTGGGTGGCAGCTTTCAGGGAACTGTGGACATGAACCCCAAGATCCCTCTGTTCCTCCACACTGCCAAGATTCTTTCTGTTAACCCTGTATTCTGCTTTCCAAAATGAATCACCTCACACTTTTCAGGGTTAAACTCCATTTGCCACTTCCCAGCCCAGCTCTTCCTATCAATGTCCCTTTGTAACCTAGAACAGCCCTCCACACTGTAGTTTTATTGAATGCTTATGATGTTGTTCTCAATTATTTGAAGTACAATTAATTTGTGCACGTTAAAAGTACTCTTCAGAAATATTTATGCAATGTTCGATGACTAGTTTTAAAGTTTAAATGTTTGAAATAAAACAACAGCAATGCATAATTGATAGGAATGATAATTTATTCTGTATATTACTGGAACAAACCCAAAATCTTGGTTGTATTTGAATTCGACACAGAAACACTAATCTAGGTTTATACTCGCCTATATCCAGATGTTTTTTTTTGAAGTAATTATTTGATATGATGGAGAAGTAATTTATTTTTGGTGTCACTAGAGGTTTAACAGTATCCTGCATTTTTCATGTATTTATTTTCCCTCCAGTGATTTATGACAGTTGCCCACGAGCCATGGAGGCAGAGATCTGGTGGCCCAGAACTAAGTTTGGACTCCCTGCCGCAGTACCTTGTCCCAGAGGATCAATGGGTAATGTTATTACAGTTTCATAAGTCTTCAAAATATTTCCTTGTTAATCAGCCAGAACAGTTTAATCTGACTCAGTTGTTGACACATTGTAAGGAAGTAGTATAATACTGCAGGAGGTGAGGAATGGCTTTTGCTGAAACTACTGGGTATTGCTGAGCTCCCAGGCTTTTTTTTTGTATTTCATCTGGCTTTCTAATTGTATGAGCGAAGAAAGATATTCTCTCTGAAATTAAAACAAAATACAATTACAGACTAGAGACAACAAGGTGCAGGGCTGGATGAACACAGCAGGCCAAGCAGCATCATAGGAGCAGAGAGGCTGACGTTTCGGGCCTAGACCCTTCATCAGAAAAGGGGGAGGGGAAGGCGGTTTTGAAATAAATAGGGAGAGAGTGGGAGGCGGATAGAAGACGGATAGAGGAGAGGATAGGTGGAGAGGAAACAAACAGGTCGAAGAGG